AATATATCATTAACGTATCTTAACCAGGTAACGGTGTTGGGAATGAGGGTGCTGAATTTTTCTGTCTCTAGGTTTTCCATGAAGAGGTTGGCAAGCACAGCACTGAGCGGGCTGCCCATTGCCATCCCAAAGCACTGTTTGTAACAGGACAACTGTTACAAACAAAATCATTTTTTCTTATGAAAAATTTTTTTTTTTCTAAACATTATAGGCTAAACAAAAAAATTTTACCATCAATATGTACCGAGATATGGAGGCGTGAAGTTGACAGAAAATTTGCATCATGTGGTAACATCGCCGACTGCCGTCACCCGGCATCTCCCTCTGTATGTTAGAAGTGATGAAGGTTCCAGGACCGAAACGTTTTCTAATGAATATGTCATAGTGTTTGCTTACGTGTCTTTCTAAACCAGTTTAAGGGTTAAATTGCAAATATCTTGTGTCAGAGGACACACTTTACAGTCTGGTTCATGAACCATAGGCATTGGCCATTATGCTTCACACTTTTCTGTTACTAAAGTTTCATTTCTGACTCTGGCTTAACTTCAGTGGCAGCAACATTCATGTCCAACCACCATACAGCCTCTACACATGTTCTAACAAGACTGTATGGAAGATGTTCCAGCTTTTCTTTTAGGATAAGAACATTCCACTTATGATGATCACTCAAGTCATAAAGTGTATGATGTGAAGGCTTACTCAGCCCTGTAACAACTTCAGACAGTATTACCAAGGCTGGCTCCTCCTCAGGAAAATTAATGAATAGAAAAAGAAATAATAATTCACAAAGATAAACACTTTATTATTTATTAATGCAAAGATAAAACATTGAAACATGAAGGTGTATCCTACTTGAAAGAAAAATGAAAAATGAAATGGAAAAATGACATTTGAATTCAACGCTAATATATACAGTTATACTGGGGTGTCTGGTTGAGGTTGACACCGTCTTGTAGAAATTGTAGCCGTTGCTGATGTGGGGGGGGTCACAGGTGTTTAGTGACAACCCAACAACTAGTTCTTCACAGAGTCTATAGCCTTGAATAGTCAGTCCAGATGACAGGAATGCAGGTTCTTTACCACTGCAAAGATGAGGGGTAGTGTCCTGTACAATTAATCAGGTAGGTAGATCATAAAGTGACGTCCCAAGACCGGTTTCAGTCTGTCTCCTTCAACACTTCTCTTTCGTTGGCAGGTGACCTGAGCTGTCATTCCAAGAGTTGTGCTGGGAGCTGTGAGTTGAGTGATTACTGTTTTGCCAGAGCCCCACATGTCACCTTTTGGGGTGGGAAGAAAGGGGGGGGAGGGGATAGCGGGAGCTAGACTGACCCTACCTTAACAAGCAGCCGGCAATCAAACTATGGTTACCATATACAGTGGACCCCCGCATAGCGACCTTAATCCGTGCAAGAGGGCTGGTTGTTATGCGAAATGTTCGGTATGCGAATGAATTTTCCCCATAAGAAATAATGGAAATCAAATTAATCCGTGCAAGACACCCAAAAGTATGAAAAAAAAAAATTTACCACATGAAATATACATTTTCCTACACACAAAGAGAAGGATACATGCACAATAGTAGAGTAGTACATGCACAATATATATTGTGCATGTACTACTCTACTAAATGAAGAATAAATGACACTTACCTTTATTGAAGATGCAGCAATGACTGATGAGACACTGTGTCCTGGGAGTGCCTTTTCCTCCTGAGTACTGTAGGTCCTGTTTGGCATTTTCTTCCAGAACATGCCTTATCACACTGTGTATGCCACTACGATTCTTAAATCTCTCAAACCAACCTTTGCTGGCTCTAAATTCACCAATATGAGCACTAGTTCCAGGCATTTTCCCTGTTCACCTGGGTGTTAGTCGACTGGTGTGGGTTGCATCCTGGGAGACAAGATTAAGGGCCCCAATGGAAATAAGTTAGACAGTCTTCGATGACACTGACTTTTTTGGGTTATCCTGGGTGGCAAATCCTCTGGGGTTAATTGTTTCTTGGTATTCTCAATAAGCCACACCAACAACGGTGCTACAGCAGCAGCAGCAGCTGACGGTGGTACAGCAGCAACAGACGATGCTACAGCAGCAACAGACGATGCTACAGCAGCAGCAGACGATGCTACAGCAGCAGCAGACGATGCTACAGCAGCAGCAGACGATGCTACAGCAGCAACAGACGATGCTACAGCAGCAGCAGACGATGCTACAGCAGCAGCAGACGATGCTACAGCAGCAGCAGACGATGCTACAGCAGCAACAGACGATGCTACAGCAGCAGCAGACGATGCTACAGCAGCAGCAGACGATGCTACAGCAGCAGCAGACGATGCTACAGCAGCAGCAGACGATGCTACAGCAGCAGCAGACGATGCTACAGCAGCAGCAGACGGTACTACAGCAGCAGCAGCAGCTGACGGTGGTACAGCAGCAGCAGCTGACAGTGCAGCAGCAGCTGACGGTGGTACAGCAGCAGCTGACGGTGGTACAGCAGCAGCTGTACCACCAATAGTAGCGATGGTTGATTGGGATTTATTATACAACCTGGCCAGCTCGGAGACACGCACTCCACTTTCATACTTATCAATGATCTTTTTCTTCATCTCCATAGTAATTCTCACCCTTATTGCTGTAGGGTTGGCACTAGAAGCCTTCTTGGGGCCCATGGTCACTTATTTTCCAGAAAAAAAATCACCAAAAACACTGTAATAATACGAAATGTTCCGATTGTATGCTTGGATGTTACTGCAGAGGCTGGCTGGTAAACAATGCCACCGGCGGAACATGTGAGCGTGGCTCAGGCCGCACATTGGACGCGTCTCGGACGAAGGGCGGTGAGCGGGTTTTTGGGCGGTATGCGAGGCAAAATTTTTGCGATCAAAGCGTCCGGTATGCGATGCGTCCGGTATGCGGGGGTCCACTGTACTCGCTCGCTACTCCTATCTGTTAAACTTTTCCCTCACATATGACACTTGTTTACATACACCTATGTCATTTGTTTTTGTCATTTGACATTTCTCTACACTACACTGGTTTTAAATACTATATTAGGCATGTTTTATAAAGGTTCCAGTTTGCAGAAATAGATTCCCAAGTTTTTTGTCTTGGTATTTCTGTGCTCAAGCTCCATGAACCATAATAGAAATAACAACCTGTTATTATGATTTTGTGAACACTAGTAATAAATTGTTAGAATGCTTTTCATTTGGTAAATTGTCTGTTTGTACTCTCCTATACATTAGCACTTCCTTTGTTGATTCATGGCACATACCTCCAGCTCCACTTGGTAAACTCTCAGTTTGATTAAGACCTCACAACAATTAGAGAATATTAATTTTATTTGTAATCATTCTGTGCTTAAAGATAGTGAATAACATTACTTTTGCTTGCCATGTGGAATGTGTTCAGGTGGAATGGCTTGCTTAGTTTGTTTACCTGAATCTGTAGGAAATTTAAGAACTGCTAATCTCAGTGCTCTAAATGCTATTAATATTTCATTGGTTATGATGCCATTTGAAAGTTCTCTAACCATGCTTAGTGATTTTGTGTGCCTATTTGGAAGCAGACTCAGTCTACATTCAGAGCTTCCACATTTCCATCCCAGTGATCCACTTCTCTGAAGTTCGTGGATAAAAGCTGTCCGCCAGTATAGATTCCTAGTGACAGTTTTTACGTGGCACTAATTACCCAGTCACAAGCTCGTTTGTGCATTTTGTGAGACAATGTATTGCCTGAACAAGCATACAAGTTTTCAATAAAAACTGGATCACTACCACCACCAGGTGCCAGATCAGCCAGGTTGTGATGGCTGTGTGGGCCAGCGGTCTACCAACAGCAACAACCTGGTCCGATAGGCAATCAACAGAAATATCTGGCCTCAGGCTGGCCTGAGAGTGTACAAGAAAATCAATTAAGCATATATCACAGGTGTAGATCCCATCATTTCTTCTGATCCATTTAGTTCATTTCAACAAAAGAACAAAGAATCTTGTATCCAAGACTTGTGACTTTATTGGCCTTCACATCCTGGTCATTTCAGCCTGATCGTTCACAGTTTATCCCAGGTAAGGAAACTTCGTATCCTACATCATCTCACCATGGATCATCATGACTTTAAATCACCCAACACAGTTTCAGGGGTCTGGAAGCTTTCTTAGGTTCAGCACTGAGACAAATCATGGAGGGAAAGGCTTCAGGCACATAATCTGCAACAAGGGTTTGCATGTATTTTAAAGAGTTGTTCATTGACACTGAATTACTTGGCATCACAAGTTATGTAGTCAAAGTTATGGTAGTAAAAATTTGAAAGTTAAATTCTAGTTATTGCACTTATGAACCACCAGATACAACTTCCAGCAGTTAACCCAGTCCCAAATATCCTGTTGTTTAACTTGTTCAATTTGCCACATAAAATAGAAGAATGTAATAGAGAAAGTCCCAGAAGTCAGTGTGGATAAACTGGCACACACACACAAACTATTAAGACTATTAGACTTTCATTAAGCCAGCAAATAATAGAATCTGGTAGTGAACATAACGGTGTTAAATACAGCACATTTGGACCACAGCCTAATTGAAGTTCAGACCTGCATGCACACTTACCTCAAGCAGCAAATTTAACCTCAACAGTAATATTAACTGGGCTCAAATATACTAGGAGGGTTGAATGAATAACATGGATTTAAATCTGTCTCGAGAAGATAAGGTCAGTGGCACCAGAAGTTTTTTACAACACACATACCAATAAAAAAAAAAAAGCTGTATGTTAGGAAGAGAGAGACACTCCCTCTGTTGGCAAAGATGAGCTTCTCAAATGTTGCAGACTCAGTAAACAACAAAAACACTGATTAGATAAATGGAAAAGCATTGATCTCAAGCTGAGTGCATCATACAGAGTCCAGGAGAGACACAGGGAACAAAATGTCATAAATGAAACTGAAAATATTTAAAAAGTTTTTCTCCGCACAATCCATTGCAAAAGCTACATTTTGTTTCAGGCCGTTGCGTAAAGGAGATGGAAATTTGGCTGATGACAAACAAATGAATGAAATACCCCAGTCACTCTGCGACTGTCCTCAGTGAGTTATAATCAGCCTAAACATTGACAATCTAAATTATTTTTTTATGAATAAGACTTAAAGTTCTGCCAACATTTCCAAAATTTCTGACAACCCTAACCCTGTTCAACTTCAGAGAATCCATTAATAACATGCTCATTCACTCTGCCCCAGACTCAGACTTATGGAACTCCATATTCATTATGAATTGCAAGAAATCACTGTCATGGTCCTTACATATTCTATAGGAGTCTGGACATGGGTCATTCTATTCATTAAAAATCATGGACACAGCCCCACTCCAAAAAGGTGGCATTAAAGCAGTTGCAAAAAAAAAAAAAAAAACTGTAAACCAATGTCACCGATGTCCCATATGATCAAAATCTTTGAAAGTAGTTTAAGAAGCAAGACTGCTGAGCACGTGGATTCATAACAAATGGACTACCAAGGGAGATGTGGCTTTATAGCAGGTGGCTTCTGCCTTTTTCAATTGCTGGACAAAATTAATATGTTGTGTTCAAATATTTTGCAAAAGATTTAAACAGGTGTGACCATGGTGTAAAAGTGCAGAAAATATATGTAAAAGAAATAACTGGAAAAGTGGGAGGATGCATATTTAATTTCATAATAGTGAACAAAGTAAAATCAGAGGCTGCTACATTTAAAAGTTCTCTTCCCCAAGTATTCTCCCAAATTCTCTTTCTCACTCTCTTAACTAAGAGACAATTCACAGCATCATATCACAGAAAAATTGCAAGAAGCTGTAATCCAAGTTTTCCAGCGGGTAGTGAAGAATAACACGACGGTCAGTAGTGATGAGTTCCAGCTGAGTATGTATGGAAAGAATGAAAAACTCAAAAGGGATACTATATATATAGAAAAACCCAAGAGGATCACCAAATAGAATGAAAGCAACACATGAAAAACCTGGGAGTAATTATGTTAGCTGACCTTTCTCTCAAGAACACAATAAGGCACATGTCATGACAGCCAGGAAAATGATGAGGTAGAGAATGAAAACTTTCAGAACAAAGGATATAGTTCCAGTGGTGATACTATTCAAATCACTTGTGCTCTCTTGCTTAGAATATTGCTCAGTGTGGTTATCTCCATTCAGGGCAGAAGAGATATCACAACTGGAACATATATGTAGATCATTTATGGCTTGCTAAGAGCCAGTAAAACATTTAAATTATTGAGAATTACTCAGAATCCTAGCATATACTCTCTGGAAAGAGTATATGTTTAATATGTACACAGTAATATATATGTGATTAGATATATGCCTAGTCCCAAATGTGTACACTGCCATAACAACATACTGGAGTGAGAAATCTGGAAGAAAATGTCAAACCCAGTGAAAAGTAGGGATACCATTGGGAAAATAAGAGAACACTGTATCAGCATCCATAATCACAGACCTTTTTTTTAACATCTTACCAGAAGATGTAAAAAACTCTGCCAGAATAAGTGTAGAAGTCTTCAAGAGGAAATTGGACAAGTACCTCAACCAAGTGTCAAATCAACCAGGTGTGATGGGTATGTGGGATACCAGGCTGCCAGCAGCAACAGTTTGATTGCCCAGGAGAGCACCAGGAGTAGGAAAACTCTTAATACCAATCAAAGGTATATCAAAGGTAAAAGTGTATATTCCTTTACCAACGATACTAGAATTTGTATGAGCGTGACATTCACTGAGGTCACAACAAATCTTCAAGCTGATATAAACCTAGTCTTCCACTGGGTCACAGAAAGCAGTATGATATTCTGAGGACAAATATCATTTACTTTACTATGGAAAACTGAGGAAATAAAAACTAAACAAGAGTATTAAACAAACTAAAATCACTCAATTGAGTAAAAGATTAATGTGATCTCACATTCAAGGATCATAATAATATTAATATCACAACAAGGAAATTGATAAGCTGCTTCACTAGAACATTCAGAACAGTAGATTCCTAGACCAGGATGTTGCTGTACATTAATAGCTCCTTTTATGGTAGGTAAAATTGCAGATATGGAGGAAGTACAGAGATTCTTCACTGCATATATATTTTCAGTTCCTCAAACTGTTCTTGAAATATAGGCAAGAAAAATACATGATAATTTACTTCTGAAAAATTCTGGAGGAATTGGTTTCAAATCTTCACATCAAAACCACTCCTTGCAAACAGTGTGAAATACCTCCAGTAAAAAGCACCAAGAGATAACTCATTAAATGTAAAGAGAACAAGACACAACAACCCTACCTTCGTACATATGGGGCATCATCAACAGACCCCTAATTGTAAAGAGCAAACCTGACAAGTCCCTCTAGTCAGCTCCTGTTCAACCAGGCTGTGGTTTATTCATTAGACTGTATGTGGCTAGCTTCAACAGTCATGTTGATCAGGCCAGCAACTGGGAGGCCTGGTCTAGAATTAGGCAGTGGAGGCAGTGACTCTCTCAAATCATCATCTGTTAACCTTTAGGTAACCATGATCCAAGACTGTAACATAGTGGCCCAGCAATTGAGAGAAGCAGGAGTGGCCTGTTCTCAACCCACTGTTGCTCTGGGCTGTGTAATTGTTGTTATTCCCTAAGTTTATCCTCGTTAATAGCTTGATCAAACAGAAAACTGGGGCTTGCAGCTCAGTTAAAAATAGGTGCTACAGCCTTATTCATCAAGTGCACTAATACTCACCATTTTGAAGAGACATTTTCAGCTTTCCTCCTTATATTGTTCTGTGTTTGATGTAATGAAGTTGGAAAAACATTGTACTCATGATATATACATACGTATTGAGTTATTTATTGTGGTAACATTGAACTCCTGCTTTTCACATCAGCCTCAAACTATATCAGTTATATTTTAACCCGTAAACGGTCCAAACGTATATATTCATTTTTACTGCTAGTGCCCCCAAACGTATATATACGTTTTATTTGTCATACATTCAACATTGCCACGATAAGCTTGAGTCGCCTAGATATGAGAGAATGGGTGTGCACACTCACTGTGCACCATATTAAAATAATTGGGGATGCTTGGGTACCACATGCTCTTTTTTCCTATTAAAAAAACTATTTTTTTTCTTCTCAAAAAAGTTGGGGCACTACAGGAGAGAACGTATATATACGTTTGGACCGTTTACCGGTTAATTTTTTGTGATAGTCTTTACGTTATTTTATATTTAACAAAGACATGTTTATTCAGTGTAAGGAACCGTGGAGTTATGCAGCGAGGTTCACTTGGCCACTCCTCGTCACATGAAGATTCCTCACCGCATGCGTCCCCTCATCCCTCACCACATCTCTACAGCTCCTCGCGCCCTGCACCCCAGGTAAGATACTTCATTTATTATCCTTACTCTCGTGCATATATCCCAATTCTTCGCGCAGTCAAGCTCAGTGCTTTTGAGTGGGCAGAACCTGACTTAGTGAAAATGTGAGTATTCCTGAATGTTAGTCTAAACCAAAAAAATTTCTCTGGTAAAAAGAAAAAATCTTGCTTATATCAACATACAGTGGAACCTTGACTTACGAGTGTCCCAACTTAGGAGTTTTTTGAGATACGAGCCATCCCTGGGTTGATTTTTTCCTTTGAGTTACAAGCCAATATTTGAGTTACGAGCCAGCTTCCCCCTCTCTCTTCCCCCTCAACCCAAAACCTGGACACCTCACTTGTTTATCTATGATTTCATGCTTTAATTCCATGGAAATCATTCTCTTTTTCTTTTCAGCAATAATAATAATATTATTACAGTCATGTCACTCAGTAAATCAATCAAGTCACTCAATAAGTCAGTCAAGTCAGTCTAGTTATTCAGTAAGTCAGTCAAGTCACTCAGTAAGTCAGTCAGTCAGTTCAGTTAGTCAATCAGTCATTCAGTAAGTCAGTCATTCAGTCACACAAACTCATGTTAACCTCTTTTTCTGTGTACAAAGTAACACTTCAGTTACGGCTACAGGTTATCTCTTGTCTAATATCTTTGTTATTCTAAGACTTAAGTGCTTATACCTCTTCGTGCCACTTTCAGCAACACTAGTATGGCTACTGGGTGTCTTGATTGCTTGGCAGATACAAGATATAGTAATTAAAATATCATAACACAATTGACAAACACAGCTGCCTTGTAGCAGAGAAAGACTGGACACGTATGAATTACGAATGCTGGGATGGTGGGGTGGTGTCGGTGAGTGGTAGGGGATGGTGGGAGGGCTCCCCGGCTGCTCCACAACAAGGCGGCTGCTTGAGCAAAAGAGGATTTTTTTTTCCTTCCCACAAACTGAACCACTGTATAAGCAAGATTGGAGATGGGAAGTACAGTGCCTACACTTTGAAGGAAGGGTGTTAATGTTGCAGTTTTATAACTGTAGTGTAAGTGCACCTCTGACAAGACAGTGATGAAGTGAATGATGGTGAAAGTTTCTCTTTTTCAGGCCACCCTGCCTTGGTGGGAAACAGCCACTGTGTTAATAAAAAAAAAATAATCATCATATATATAATAGGTGGCCACCTCATAATGTTAACCCTTCTGCTGTCAACACCTCCAAATTGAAAGCTCCTTCTATGTTGTCATTTAAAAAAACCAGGTTGGTAGGTTGGTGGACAGCAGCCACCCAGGAAGTACTACCATCCTGCCAGATGACTGTGAAACAGAAACCTGTAACTGTTTTACATGATGGTAGGATTGCTGGTGTCTTTTTCTGTCTCATGAACACGGTAGATAACAGGGATATCTTGCTACTCCTACTTGCATTTGGTCACACTTCACAGACACGCACATGCATATATATATATATATATACATACATCTAGGTTTTTCTCCTTTTTCTAAATAGCTCTTGTTCTTCTTTATTTCTTCTATCGTCCATGGGGAAGTGGAAAAGAATCTTTCCTCTGTAAGCCATGCGTGTCGTATGAGGCGACTAAAATGCCGGGAGCAATGGGCTAGTAACCCCTTCTCCTGTAAACATTTACTAAAAAGAGAAGAAGAAAAACTTTATAAAACTGGGATGCTTTTAATGTGCATGGATGTAGTGCGGAATGACAAGAAACAGATGATTGCTGGGTGTTATGAATGAAAAGAAGTTGAATGTCCTGGCCCTAAGCGAAACAAAGCTGAAGGGGTAGGGAGTTTCAGTGGGGAAATAAATGGGATTAAATCTGCAGTATCTGAGAGAGTTAGAGCTAAGGAAGGGGTAGCAATAATGTTGAAGGATCAGTTATGGAAGGAGAAAAGAGAATAGAATGTGTAAATTCCCAAGGATTATGTGGATTTAAAGTAAAGGTTGGATGCGAAAAGTGGGTCATAATAAGCGTGTATGCACCTGAAGAAGGAGAGGAATGTAGAGGAGAGAGAGAGAGATTTTGGGAGATGTTAAGTGAATGTTATAGGAACCTTTGAACCAAGTGAGAGAGTAATTGTGGTAGGGGACCTGAACCTAAAGTAGGAGAAACTTTTTTGAGAGGGTGCGGTAGGTAAGTTTGGGGTGCCAGGTGTAAATGATAAATGGTAGCCCTTTGATTGTAACTTAGTAATAGAAAAGGGTTTAGTTTATAGGTAATAACATATTTTAAGAAAAAAAGGATAAATAAGTATACAGTTTGGACCCCCGGGTTAACGATTTTAATCCGTTTCAAGAGGGGTAATTGTTTTTGGCAAATAATCGTTATGTGAATGAATTTTCCCCATAAGAAATAATGGAAATAAAATTAATCCGTGCCAAAACAACCAAAAGTATGAAAAAAAAAAATTTTACCACATGAAATTTTACATTTTCCCACACACAAAGAGAAGGATACATGCACAATAGTAGAGTAGTACATGCACGTATATATTGTGCATGTACTACTCTACTAAATGAAAGAAAAAATGACACTTACCTTTATTGAAAAATGCAGCAATGACTGATGAGACACTGTGTCCTGGGAGTGCCTTTTCCTCCTGAGTACTGAGGTCCTGTTTGGCATTTTCTTCCAGAACAGGCCTTAAACCACTGTGTATGCCACTACGATTCTTAAATCTCTCAAACCAACCCTTTGCTGGCTTTAAAAATTTACCAATATGAGCACTAGTTCCAGGCATTTTTCCCTGTTCACCGGGTGTTAGTCGACTGGTGTGGGTTGCATCCTGGGAGGGCAAGATTAAGGACCCCAATGGAAATAAGTTAGACCCGTCTTCAATGACACTGACTTTTTGGGTTATCCTGGGTGGCAAATCCTCTGGGGTTAATTGTTTCTTGGTATTCTCAATAAGCCACACCAACAACGGTGCTACAGCAGCAGCAGCAGCTGACAGTGCAGCAGCAGCAGCAGCAGCAGCTGTACCACCAATAGTAGCGATACTTATCAATGATCTTTTTCTTCTTCTCTATTGTAATTCTCACCCTTATTGCTGTAGGGGTTGGCACTAGAAGCTTTCTTGGGGCCCATGGTCACTTATTTTCCAGAAAAAGCACCGAAAACACTGTAATAATACGAAATATTCCGATTGTATGCTTGGATGTTACCGCGGAGGCTGGCTGGTAAACAATGCCACCGGCGGAACATGTGAGCGTGGCTCAGGCCGCACATTGGACGCGTCTCGGAGGAAAATCGGTAAGCGGGTTTTTAAGCGGTATGTGAGGCAAAATTTTTGCAATTAAAGTAAGCGGTATGCGAAATAATCGCTATGTGATGCCATCGTTATGCGGGGGTCCACTGTACAAGATATGATGTAGGGCAAAATGACAGCAGTTTGTTGGATTATGTATTGGTAGATAAAAGACTGTTGAGTAGACTTCAGGATGCACATGTTTATAGAGGGGCCACAGATATATCAGATGACTTTTTAGTTGTAGCTACACTGAGAGTAGAAAGTAGATGGGATACAAGAAGAATAGAAGAAAAGTAAAAGGACACAATGCAAACTAATGTGACATTTTTATTGTGCCACAATAAAATGTACATTAGTTGCACTTGTGTCCTTTTACTTTACATATTGTCGGTAAATTCTACCAAAAATATTACAAGAATGAAAGCATCGGGGAAAGAGAGAGGTGAAGGTTTATAAACTAAAAGAGGAGGCAGTTAGGGTAAGATATAAACAGCTATTGGAGGATAGATGGGCTAATGAGAGCATAGGCAATGGGTCGAAGAGGTAGGGGTAGGTTTAAAAATGTAGTTTAGAGTTTTTTCAGTAGAAGTTTGTGGTTACAGGAAAGTGGGTGGGGAGGGAAAGGGAGCAATTGGGGGAATGATGTTGTAAAGAGGGTGTAAGGGAGAAAAAGTTAGCTTTTATTTTTTATTATCACACCGGCTGATTCCCACCAAGGCAGGGGGGGCCCGAAAAAGAAAACTTTCACCATCATTCACTCCATCACTGTCTTGCCAGAAGGGTGCTTTACACTACGTTTTTAAACTGCAACATTAACACCCCTCCTCAGAGTGCGGGCACTGTATTCCCATCTCCAGGACTAAAGTCCGGCCTCCCGGTTTTCCCTGAATCCTTCATAAATGTTACTTTGCTCACACTCCCAACAGCACGTCAAGTATTAAAAACCATTTGTCTCCATTCATCCTATAAAAAACCGCTCACGCATGCCTGCTGGAAGTCCAAGCCCCTCGCACACAAAACCTCCTTTACCCCTCCCTCCAACCCTTCCTAGGCCGACCCCTACCCCGCCTTCCTTCCACTACAGACTGATACACTCTTGAAGTCTTTCTTTTTCGCTCCATTTTTCCTACATGTCCGAACCACCTCAACAACCCTTCCTCACCCTCTGGACAACAGTTTTGGTAATCCCGCACCTCCTCCTAACTTCCAAACTACGAATTCTCTGCATTAAAATTCACACCACACATTGCCCTCAGACATGACATCTCCACTGCCTCCAGCCTTCTCCTCGCTGCAACATTCATCACCCCCCGCTTCACACCCATATAAGAGCGTTGGTAAAACTATACTCTCTTACATTCCCCTCTTTGCCTCCAAGGACAAAGTTCTTTGTCTCCACAGACTCCTAAGTGCACCACTCACTCTTTTTCCCTCATCAATTCTATGATTCACCTCATCTTTCATAGACCCATTCCGCTGACACGTCCACTCCCAAATATCTAAAATACGTTCACCTCCTCCATACTCTCTCCCTCCAATCTGATATTCAATCTTTATCACCTAATCTTTTTGTTTATCCTCATAACCTTTACTCTTTCCTGTATTCACCTTTAATTTTCTTCTTTTGCAAAACCCTACCAAATTCATCCACCAATCTCTGCAACTTCTCTTCAGAATCTCCCAAGAGCACAGTGTCATCAGCAAAGAGCAGCTGTGACAACTCCCACTTTTGTGTGTGATTT